ATATATGTTGATTATTTCAGTCTTTCAGGTTTGATCTGAAAAATTAATTAAAATAGAATATATCTTTATTATTGCTTTGTGAGATTACAGTAAAAATATTTAAATATATGAGAATACACTTTCTATTGACTTAATGCTTACAATTTATCTTCAGCTCAACTTTGTCAGTTTTTGATTTTGCATATATGTAATTATTTGCAGTGTAGTATCTGCTGTATCTTAGAACATATTTTATTTGTAGTTTTTTTATGTAGACTTTAAAAGCTCAGTCAAGAAGAGAAAAGAATAAGAAATAATTAATTCATAAATAGAAATTGCAGAATCTAAACTGTTCAGGTTTTATTACACCACATGGGGTCACCTATCATTTCTGAGGAACTATCCAGCATAATCAATACAACCTTGTCTTTCCCATTCTACATGCATCTTTTTTTTTTCCCTTTTTTCCTTCTTTCTATTTTTTTTAATGTTGCCTTTCTTCGTAGTTTAGCTTTCAAGGCATTTTCCTTAATAACTTCTTTCTTCTATTCTGGAAAAAGATATTAATTTAGACAGAAATAAAGACAGTTAAGTCTTTCTCGCTGCATAGAAAAGATAAACAGGTAAAGACAAAAATAGATACTCTATAGCATAGATTAAATATAGGAATAGAGATGGAAGCAGTACAGATTGTAAAAAACCTCAAATCTTTTCCTCACTAATGTTCATTAAATTAATATTTGTTTTCTTATGATTTTTTCTTTCTTTATATGTGACCATTAATTATAACAAGAAGAAGATGATTGGTAGAAAAATAAATGATAGAGTGTTAGAAATGCAAAATGATTCAAAATATTAATGTAATGCTAAGGATGACTGGGTAACAAATGGTACATTTGCCAGTATGCTTGACCTGACACAATTAATATTCCAGGTCATGCTTGGGTTTCCATGATGGAAGGTCTGAGGCAGAGAATTCTAGGAAAAAATATATCTATTGTATAACTCATTTCTCTCTCTCTCCCTTTTTTTTTAATTTTTTTTTTTTTTTTTTTATTTTCCCTGACGAGTCAGAACCATAGTCTTAGAAAAAAATATATCTATGCTTTCACACCTCATTCACCACTGGGCCACCATTCAGCAAGAGGGCCTGATGCAAGGAGGTCAGTAAGAAGCTATTAGCAGAGTCCCCTCCTGAGATTTCTTTGGTCTTATTGAGGTGGAAGTTAGCATGACAGTACTGCAAATAACTCAGTGGTTAGTTTTTTAACAGTTAGCACAGATTTCCCAATAGTGTTTGTCACTTCAGAAAATTGTTCCTGGAAATGAAGTCCCGAAAGCTGGCTTTGACAGAGTCCCTTCTTAGTGTTGAAAAGCACAGGTACAGAAAAATGTGTCATTCTCCTGGCAGACAAGAAGTACATTTTGTAATCTATGCTAGTATTTTGGAGGGTTACATATTTTCTTATGGACTAAAGGCATGGAAAATATCAAAATCAAAGCATGAGGTAGTATCTCAAGACACACTTTTCTGCCATTGAAAAAGCAGTATCAAGTACAATGGTTTTTAGTTGAGAGAATAATGCATTAAAGTAGGGAAAAAATGAAGCAATGCTTTTAATACATTGTACTTGTCTCAAGAAGATATGCAAATTTGTTAAGCACCAAAGGCTTTGGTCCTTCAGATTCTTAGATTTCTGCAGACTGCTAGCTCCCTGCAGAGGATAGAGTGAATAGGGCATTCATCACTGCACTGCACACGAGCAAGAAATTCCAAAAAATAGGACTAAGATTTGCAGAGACATTTGAAAAAGAATGGAAGCAATTTTTCCAGAGATTGGTCTGAACTGGAAAGTAGAATCAAACTCATCCCCTTGTCTCTCCTACCAAACTTTGCCAATTTTAAATCTAGGTCTAACCTTACCACAAACCTTAGAGAATTTAGAATAAACTCGTATTAATGTTATGTGTTTAGATACTAACTCTGCTGATTGCTCTTCTATCTGTCTGGTTGAATACTTGAAAATATGTAATTAAAATGTAAAGTTATTAACATGGATTGCTTGAAAAACTTTTAGTTAAAGATGAACTTTATAATCAATTTTGACCAAGGTCTTACAGAGTTTCAACTGTGGAAGAAGCAACAAATTTTAAAGTGTCCATCTGGCCTCACTAAACTGCAAATCCGTTTTCATATCTGATATACTGTCAGTATGTGTTTAACCTGGCATACCTGACGGTATGTAAAAAAATAGCAACGAAAGATGACTCTTTGCTAAGACATATCTTCATCAATAATAATTCAAAAGACCTTGAATCAACGGATTTCCACATCTATTATGGTTAATTTTGGTTTCATTAAAAGAGCTAAAAGCCATTCCTATCAGTGCACCTTGAGACATTCAGTAGCATTTCACAGTGTGCAAACCCTTTAGGAACTATAGTTTTTTGTTACTGCCAAATATTTAATCAGAGAAACACAAAGTAGAATGTATGCAGTGACTTAAGAGATTGCAAAACGCAGTTCCAGAAATCCATTATGTTCATGGAGGCATATATACTGGCTCTCAGTGTGACTGAAAGAAACAACACCCTGTTTTGGGGCCTAGACAGCACAACAATTTAAAGTTATTCTTGCATCTAATTCTTCAAAGGGAAAACATTTAAATTATATCTGACTTTGTATTTTTCCACTTTGGAGAAACAGAAACCAAAAACCAAACCTGTGCTATGGAGATTGAAATAATCTATTTTTTTTGGTGAAAAGAAATTTAAAAATTTGCTCCCGAATTTGCTCTTGAGCTGGGTTCTTTTTTTTAGTTTCTTTAAAGAAAAGTCTTTAAAAAGGGTGTAAATTTTGGGCAGATGTAGTCCTGATCAGGATTTGCTACTGGTCAACAAATCCATGCCTGCCAACTTCAGTGAGTCATTATTATGCAAGAGTGGTTTCTTCTGGATCATCCCAATTCTCAGTGATGCACATGGAGATATTTTTCTTCTGGGTAATGTTTAAATTTTCAGTGACATTGTCATTTTCTATAAAACATGTGTTTCACAAACAGCACAAGAGAGCAATATCTCCCCCACTAGAAAGGGACCTCTGCAGACTCATGGCATGGCTAGAATGCAATCTCCACATTAGGTAGGATATAACAGCTGAATATAGAAGGTGTAGGAATGGGTGGAAAGATGAAATAACAATACAATGAGCAATATAGTGAAATGTGGAAAAAAGGTAGTCATATCCTATCACTTTTTTATTTACTGTCATCAACATAGTGGTTGACAATATATGGATCTTGTGTTTATGTAGCACTTACAGGTCGCCAAGTGTTCACAAGCAAAATTGTATTGGGCTGATAAGAAAATTGCAATACAGCAATGTCTGAAATACTACGAAAATAATAACAACATTAGAAGAATCTGTAACTTTATGAGATGTTTATGTTGGTAAGAGCCAGACTTGGCAGAACCAAAGATTAAGATGCAACTGGACTTTACAGGTCATACAGATGGGCCTGCAATTTCACATTCACTCCTGTGATTCTGCCTGCCTGCTGTTTGAATCATGGATCCCTGCCATTTCAGTTTGGCATCCTGAAGGGCTGAAGGAACAACCAGTGGTTGTTTGGCATACATATGTTCCTTCCACTTACGTCTGTTCATGTCCTCTTTCCTATTACACATTTAGACTGTTAGTGAAATAGTTTGTAGCAGAGGACCAAAATAAATTGTCATTAGAGCCAGACCACATACAGGGTTGAAGAACATAGCCCATAAAAGTTTGAATAGCCCAACAGTATTTTGAATAAGCTACCACCTCTGAATATTTTTTTCCATTAAACACTATGTTTTATATGGGCCTTCTTTAACTGTTTTGACACAAGAAACTGGAACTTCCCAGTGGTATGTTAATGAAAAATGCTTTACAGCTAATTGAGGAGTGTTCAATCCTCTCAGCCCCAAGAGGGGCTCCACTTTATGTGGAGGCTGATGCTCTACAAAGTTTTCTCATGGGACCCCAGTAGTGTTCCAAAGGAGCAATGCTAGATTTTAAACATTTACTCTTTTCCTTAACTGATCTACTTTCCTACAATTTTTATTCAATATTTCTTATCAATTAAAATTATGATATTAGCAATAGATAAATATTTTAGCTGAGCAAATTTGCTTTAAAAGTCTTAAGAATACTCTGAGTGTAATATTGTAGAATATATAATTATCCTTAAAGCAACTAAGTATCTTTAAATTAATTTATGCCAGGTGCATTTGAAGCATATGTTATCTGGTTTATAAGAGATTTAATGGCTTTGTGCAATATGAAATAAGAATTCTCATGTTTAACAGTTTATAATTAATTCAGTAAACTCACATGTGTTGATTTGGGAATTGTTTATATACAGCTGATAAAATTCCTACATTTATAGGAATGCTTTGGGAACAGTCTGTCACATAACTTTGACTTGCCAGATATTCACAGATTGTTAATGATGTAGATTACTAGAACAGAATTTGAAATGTGCGCTTTATATTAGTAATTGACATTGGATCACACTTGTAATCCAATTAAGGATGTATCCTGAAAAAATGAAATATCGAATTCAGTCAAGAATCAATCTTTCAATTTAATTCACAATTCAGAAATTCTTATGCTAAATTTTTGTTTCTTATAAGTTTTATGCTATTAAAGCTAAACACATTTGAATAGTTACAGGAATTTATTGTGGACATTTTGTTGGAGAAAAAGTTACTAGTGGTTTTTGGTATCCATAAATTTTCTTCCATTTCTCCTTAAGTAATGACTGGTTTACTTTTTAATATGCTGCAGGTGCCACTGTCTTAGTCCACATTGTGGGTCAGCTAACACAAGAGTTGAAAGGGACAAGTATTATGTTCCTTGCGTAAACATTTATCTTACTCTTTAATATGTGTTTGGAAGTAATAGGTAATGTATTTTCATTCTTATTGTGTATAGGAATTTAAATGAGCTGAAGTCAAAGATAACCCCATTTTCTGCTCAGATTGCAGGCATCTACAATTCAAGTCCAATGGAACTGCTGTTACGGAACTCAAAGCCACTGAACCACAGAAAACAGCAAAAGAAGAGTCCCTTTGCCTATGAGCTCCATGACTGGCCAACTTGTAAAAAGCCTCCAGCTTTTGTCACAGCAAATTCTTTGCCACCTGTAGACAGAAAGAGACCTCAGGTAACATTCTGCAGTGTCTCTGAGGCACCTTTGTTCATATCTTTTATCATAGATTCTCATAGAATATCTAGAGTTGGATCATCAGGTCTGAAAATTCCTTTTGTGGATTTGTTGGGTTTTTTGTATATATCTAGTGCTTGCATTTAGGATATAAAGTCTTTGATACAGATTTGACTTAAAGAAAAGGAAATCTAGGTGATATGTAAAAACAAGGAAATATGATTCTTTAAATTTTGCTTTTGTCCTTTGAGGAAAAAGATGTCATTTCTGATATTCCAAAGATAAGACCTGATATAATTGAGTGTCAATATTATGATTCATTAGAGCTCGAAATCTTAATTTCCAATCTTAAACCAATGAAAGGTACTAGGACAAATTAACCAGTTGTGACAACTTTTTCCTTTGTTTGCGATTTTTTTTGTTATGAAGACTAGCAGACATCCTCTCAGGTCAGAATAGTTCCTACTCTCTTTTGTCCACTGGATATGTGTCAGCTTTAATTGCAAAACTTTCTACATTTTGTTCTCCATAAAAGCCAAGTTGCCCTGTTCCCATTCTCAACTGCAAGAAGAAGCAGCACTACGGGCTGGGGGCAGAGTGGCTAGAAAGTGGCCCAGCAGAAAAGACCTGGGGGTGCTGGCTGACAGCTGTCATTACATGAGCCAGCAGTGTGCACAGGCAGCCAAGAAAACCAATGTCATCTTGACCTGTATCAGCAGTAATGTGGCCAGCAGGACTGGGGCTGTGATCATTCTCCAGTATTCAGCACTGGTGAGGCCACATCTGGAGCATTGTGTTCAGTTCTGGGCCTCTCACTACAAGAAAGGCATTGAGATGCTGGTGTCCAAAGAAAGGCAACAAAGCTGGTGAAGGATTTAGAAAGTAAGTCATATGAAGAGTGGCTGAGAGAGCTGGGGGTATTTAGTCTGGAGAAGAGGAGGCTTAGGGGAGACCTGAATCATTCTCTACAACTGCCTGAAAGGAGGTTGTAGCAAGATGGGGGTTGGCCTCTGCTCCCAAGCAGCTAGCACAGGACAAGAGGACATAGACTCAAGCTGTGCCAGGGAAGGTTCAGGTTGGACATCTGGAAAAATTTCTTCACTGAAAGGGTGGTCAGGCATTGGAACAGGCTGCCCATTGTGATGGTGGAGTCACCATCCCTGGAAGTTTTCAAGAAATGACTGGACATGGCACTTTGTGCTATGGTTTAGTTGGCAAGGTGGTTTTCAGACAAAGGTTGAACTCATTGATCTTGGAGGTCTTTTCTAAACTTTATGATTCTATGATTCTAAGCAGATGCTAGAATACCTCTGGAGAAATAGAGGTGAGCCACACAGAGATCCGCACTGCCTATAACAGTAAGAATCAACTTCAGAGCAGTTCTCCACCTTTGTCCTTCCCTCCTTGTGTTCTCCCTAACTTGACTACGTGAGCTTCCTCATAGAATGAACTCATTGGCTCACATTAGAATCGAGACAAAGTGTGAGTCAGCAAACAGTTTGGGTGATGGCAGAGTTTGGAGTTGAGACAAATATGACATTATAGCTTTACCTTCTGGGACCAAAGGGAAAATGACAATCCTTGAGCACAATGTGACTGAATGCACTGTCTCTTATGAAACAGGGAGAGATTTTGCCCAGTGGACATGGTACAGGAATTACATGTTTAAATAAATTGGGAACTCAGAGTTTTTTCATTGTTAAGGTGCTCTTGCAAAGCCACTTTACTGTATACAAAGCATCTTACAAGCTTCTGTTAGGATTTGGAATATTTTACAGGCCTTTCTAAGTTCAGATGTACGCACAGCAGTCATGCACAGATAGCCTTTTAGAACAAACCAGAAGAGTTCTGTTTATTTTCTGCACCTCAAAGAGGGAATTTACTATATAATACTTTAATCCTTTCAGCACCCTGGGATGTACACTGTGGGGTAAATTTTCAAAGCACAGCGCGTGGATTTAGCTGTGCGACTCTTATTGATGTTAATGGGAGTCACACGGCTAAATCCCTGCACAACACTTTGACAATTTAGGGTTGTATGTCTAAGAAAAGGACACTGGTTTGAGCTGATGAAACAGCTGGAAATGAAAACCCATCAGAACACATCATCCTGAAAGTTTTCTGGTGTGACACTAAGAAATTTAATTACTAGATATACTTGTGTCCTAGTTCTCTGTGGTAACACTTTTTGGCACCCAGCTTCTTGTTTTAGTATCAGTCTGGCTCACTGTGGGTCACTTGTTACTTTCTTTCAGGTATCTAAAATTTTTATTGCCCATAGGTTTGGATATTTTATATGGGGATGTCAATTATATATACTTAAAAGAAAAAGAAATTAACTATCTTTCAGCTTTCTCTTGGGGAAATGGGTATTTAGCTTTTTGTAGGTAAGATCTGTGTGTATAGTGTATAGTGTATTTAAGAGAAAAGTTTTAATAATGCCTATACATTGGTTAGATCTCTCATCTTTATTACTGAGTTAACTAGAAATGCAGTTTGATGAAAACATGGATAATGCTAATCTAGTCATTAAAAGGCGTTAATAACAGAAAGCCCATTACCATTTTTAGGAGATTTTTTGCATACTGTTATCTGTTCTAGAATGGGGACAGTGAAGAATGCATAATTTCATGTGGATCATATTTTTGTCATGAATTTCTGATTTTATGAAAAGTAGTAAGAATGCTGATCTGCTGACCTTTATTTGGCAGACCAATCAGTATCAAGATTTATGCTACCCAGTACAAATTCCAAACATAGAGCATTGAACTGTATGAGTTGCTTTCAGAGTGAAAACTGTTGGTTGATTACTTCCCTTCCTTTCCTAGCCTGACCATCCCAGAAAGATTTCCATTTTAAAGCAGAATGCCTGAAGTACTTCATTATTGATTGAAAGCGTCATCAATTTGGAAACATTTTTAAGCATCATTCTACCATACTTTCCACAAATATTAAAGTTCTTCTTGTAAAATGGAAATAGGTACACAGATTTTTTAGAACTCTTGTCACTTAATATACATTCCTGAGGTGCCTATTATTAGGTAAGTTTGTTCAAATAGATGATTCAGAGAAACAGAAAAAAAGATGTACACCCTGCTTTCATTAGTGATGACACCATGTTCGAGAGACCTTTGCTTTGTTACACCCTTCCCTGTGTCCTTGCACGAGTACTTGTAATTTCATTTGAACTGTGGACTGAGGGATTTTTCTCCATCTAACTCCTAGTTAGGTCTTAGAAGTTACAGATGGAGAAAAGCCCTTTCTCTATATATCCGCTTAATGCAAACATCCTGCAATAAAGAGTATTCAGTTTTTATTATAAATTTTAAACTTTTTTATAACTTGATCATCAGATTATATGTTACTAGAACATTGTTTAAACAAGTAGTTTTAATGTTCTGTTCTAGTATTGACTATTCTCTCACAGGCAGTAACACTTTTCATTCTGTTTAAAAGACTTATTGTGTTCTTTTTAAATGTGATTTTTTTTTTACTCAGAAAACAGAAGCAAGAAAATATTTGCAAGAAGTGTAAATATTGTACCTATTTGCTTACTGGGACCTTTAAAAAGGTCTCCAAATCTTGGTGCTGTGCCTTTAAAAAGTAAAGTTCCAGTAAAAATCCATTAACTGCTTTCAAATATAGCAATCCTCCTGTCCAGCTGTGAAAAGTACTAGATGATACTTATTTGCCATTTGTGTTATTTACGGTCCATGACTTTTATGGTAACTGGTTCCTATTATTGGTTTCTATTAATGTAAAACATAAGTGAACATAAATGAGGCGTGAATCATTTCTTTTTATTAGCCCCACAGTCTTCACTCAGTGCTTGCAGTAACTCCAGCTGTGACTTGTTAGTGATAACCTATTTAAAGAAGGATATCTTTAAGAATAAAGGCTGTGATTAAGATTCTTTGTTCATCGTTTCAGAAGGTTTCACTAGTTCGTTGCAAGATCAACAATGATGAAAATAAAATAAAAATTAATTAACAACACTTCTAAATACAGGGTTACCACTAAACTGTCCTGAGTGTAACATGGCACTAATTATACTCCAGCTAAGTTCTTACAGGTTAATGACAAAAGTAAGACATATAGGATATGTCACTTCAACAGCACAGGAGAGGACTTCCTGCTGCTATTTATCCATGTTGTTAAATGGTAGATGCTGACTTTAAACAATATACTCTAGAAAAAGACATATGTGTATTTTTTGAGAATAATGACATTGATGTGGAGTTAGACTTTTCAAAAATGGACTATACACCTATATTACTAAAGTAATTAGTTTGAATTATATTAGAAGAATTATATCTTAAGTCATTCATTAAGTTCCCTTTCAGGAACCTTTATAGTTAAATTGAAAAGAGCATATTCTTTAAGGTAAAACATTATTTGCACTATGAAAGGAAAAGAATTAAGGTTTCTGCTTAATCAGAATCTAGATAGACTTAATACTTGTGTGTTGGATTTTTATTTCATGAATAATTTTTGCTAGGGAAAAACTAAGTTTTTCTACTCAGTTCTCTGAGTACATTGTTTTAAAATAGTAAGTATTTATAAGTAGTTAAATATATCTGGAGTGCACATTTCTCATTCTCTCTTTAAGAGGAGCTTTAAAGTATGTTATCAACCTTAGTGTTATCTGTAAGTCTATCAAAATGAACCACTTTAATTATTTTGGAAGAAAAGTCTTGCTACACTTCCCAGACAGTCTGCGTCCTCTTTCATCAATGATGTGCCATGAATATAAGATTGAAAGAAAAGAACTGTAACCCCACAATAAAACACTTCCATTATCCCATACCTTTCAGGGGCCTTTCCGCGATACTGCTGAAGTATTGTGGCAGCGCTACAAGCCTTTGGAACCAACCTTGCGAGTGGCAGCATCAATCAGTTCACCACTGGAGAAGGCCAGAGAGGAAATGAAAAGGGAAGAATGGAGAAATCGTATACATGACAATGAGTAAGTTCCTTGTTTCTTCTCGTATTGTTATGAGAATGTTTTCTTTATTCCGTTGCTTTCAGAAACCTTTCATGCCTGACAAAATGAAATGTCAAACCTGACAGCTTACTAGCAAACATTCTATGTACATGCTTCTAAATTCTATGTCCTTAGATTATAAACTGCTCAGGGCAGAGACCCTATCTTGTAATTGTGTGACATGTGCCATCCATATCTATGAATCTATAGAAGAATTTGCAGTAATAATATGATGCAACAGATGGGTTTAATGGGAAATAAGAAAACAAATGGAAATTCTGTTTTGCCACATGCACCTTGACAAGGAAAAAAGTACTGTTTCAGACTTTGTATTCAGGGAGCTTACAGGTTATGGGAGAAAAATATGGGGTTGCATGCCAATGAGACTTGTTTCCTCTCCCAGCAGAGTACCACAGCTCACTTGGAGGGGGAGAGAGCATATGCTAAACATGCTAGAACATGATACAAAAACTGTAATCATCTTTCATCTTTGAAGTGGTTCGGTTTCCTAAGCCATAACATCAGTAATAGTGTCAGAAAGGCCAGTTCTTTTCTAAAATCCCAAATCCAGGCATAATCCTGGATTTAAGGATTTAAGGCTTGCTTCCCCCAAAATTTAGAGGTATTGCCAAAATATTTTCAATTCTGTTTTTGTTTCTTGTGGGGTTTTTTTGTTTGGTTGGTTTGTTTTGGTCTTTTTATCATGATGGAACTCTTTTCTCCAGTCATGATAAAAGTCATCTTTTTTGGCTTTGTAGTCAACTAGGAAAAATTGAGGTTATGTCAACTTTTCTCTGGAATTCACTGCTCTTGGCAATGCTTTGACACTTTAATACCAGAATTCAGGACAGGAAGTAATCACTTTTCCTCATGCGCAGCCTGTTGTTCACTGGCACATGATGCTTTGCTATCTTTGATCTGTTTCATGCATTTCTACCAGTTCCATGTCGCCATGTGTCAGGATCAGGACTGGGACTTAAGGATGCCAGAATCAATTCCATTTATGTGGTTTAGCTTTTATGCTTTTATTTTTGGATTGTTTTCCACAATTTAATATTAATAATGTCTTTGAAAGAAAATTCCATGCAAAAACAGTTTTGAGAGAGAAAAACAGTTTTGAGAGAGAAAAGAAATCTCTTAGTTTGGCTACTTTTTCACTTTCAGGCAGGTTTGGGTTTTTCTTTATACTTGGTGTACTTCTCTGTATTCTTTCATGCATTGGGATGAGGAGGAAGCAGCTAAACATCCACATCTCTGCTTAAACCTGTGAATTTTTGGTTTTTTTTTTCATTTTTGTATCTAATTTCTGCCAGTGAAATTGAAAATAACTCCAAGCACTAGGCTTAATTAATGCTCTGCTTCTCATTTCAAGTGTTTTTTCCCCAAATAAGATTTGATTGATGCATTCCAAGTAAGGATGGATGATGTCCTTCATTTACAGGCATGACTATATTGCCCAGTCTTTATTTGATGAGGTTTACCCCAGATATCATGGTGTCAACAGTTTCAGAAGGTCATATCTTGTAATAAAGACTGAGTCTCTTCAGTGAGTGAATTGTGAAGCTTTGGTCTTGTACAGTTTAAATGTGGAGCCTCCAGCTTTGACAGAAAATATTTGCTATGGGGTCTTTATTTACTTTATGGGTAAGAAAGCATTTAATGCCATCCTTAATGCACAGAAACAATGTCCTAACAATCAGTGATTCTCAGCTTCATGCACGCTAAATACGAAGTGTATTATACATTTTTCAGGCTGTGATTGTTCCGTTTGTGCTTCATATCCAACCAACCATGCAAGGGTCACATCTGTAACCTTGAAAAGGTGATGACAGAGTTGCAGGTCATCATCAGGACTAATGATCACTAGTAATGCTGCAGCTGCTATAAGGGATGCTGGTCTCCAGGGAGGAGTCAGCAAAGGGTTACTCAGATTCTACTGTAGTTTTTTCTCAGCAGTGTCTATTATGAATTGACAAATTTCTGTCTCTTTCTATGTAATTGTGTACTTTGGGACTGTATTTCTTCCTCATAGTGCTTCCTATGCTTATTCTTGTTCTGTTTTAGAAAATAAGGAGAGAATGAGCAAGTGGAAGTATGTGGCATTTGTTGAGAAACCTTGTGTTTGCATAAAATGACAAACTGAAGCCTTGATATGTATATTTCCAGAGTATTGTGTGGTATCTTTTAAGACAGAAAGATTGTTGGTGTATACCTGCAATTTTCAACAACATTCAGAATTCCCATGCACCTCTGATTATCAGGGTTCTTTAAAGTAGTTGTTTATAAGATGATAGGATGGGTGTTGCAAGCTTTGAGAAAGTTTTTGCTTCTGATAAAATGCAGAAAAAAATTGGAAAAGCTGTGGGAGAGTTTGAGGAAGACAGAAGCAGTACAAATGAAACTAAGAATGTTGTGCTTACTTAAAGCAACTGCTGGAATTTCCTATTCTGTAATGAAAGAGCAACTGGGTAATCTAGCATAATAAGAATGATTCCTTTTTCTCATGTAATTGAAGCTCTTACTGCCTTATTGTGCTATTTTTCATACAAATGAAGTGATTTCCCCCTCCGCTTGGATAGGAATGACAATTGTAGTCCTGTGGGATGGCCACTTAATAAACTAGTGTCTAGTTTCAGATACCAACTGCTGGATCTAGCAGATTTCGATCACTAAGCATGAAAAGTTCCTTACTAAGTTGCATGCAGATGCATGCTGGCCTAATTTTCCAGAGAACAAAAATGTAAATATTTTTCATTAACTTTGCTGAAATCTGTCTCATGTAATATGCCTCCTGTTTCAAAGTATAACAGTAAACATCTTTACAAAGTCAACAAACATCAGAATTAGTTGCAATGTGGTGATAGAAGTAGTATAAGGCTGAGCTTTCCTGATTTATTGTAGTCTTCTGGTGTGACATCAGGCATGTCATCTCAGCTTCTGGCTGTGTCTGCACTCAGTGCTGTACAAGCTAATCCTGACCATACTGGTTCATTCGTGTGCAGCAGAGTGCAATGTTTGCACACTGTGTCTCTCAGATGCTGCGTGAACAGTGCAGCACCAAACTCCTCATGGGCTTATTTTCAGCAAGATAGTGCTTTGCTGTAAAAGCAGTTTAGGTGCTTCTGTGCTGCCCAGTGCTGTGTGTGAAAGGTACACTTAGAGAGAAATCAGTGATCTAAATAAGGTCTGTGCTTGGAGAGCATCAGTGTTATGAGCTGCCTGGTATTAATGGTAAGAACTTTTAAAAAGCAAGTCACTTTGATAAGATTTAAGATTTTAAAAAATCTTTAAATTTCTAGAGTTATAAAATCTTTTACTGTATTTCTGGCTTAGCTGTAGTTAAATGGCTACTGCATTTTATGTCATACAAATACAACACATCTGAAAACTTTTTTCAAATTATACTTAGTTTTTCATATGCTTTGCAACTTCAGCAATTTGCATATTTTCCGGACTGTTATTGTATTATGATAAACAGGGATTATCATATATTTTCAGATAATGTTTTCTTAACAATTCAACTTCTATTTGTAACTCTTCCATTTATTTTAATTACTAGCACAGTGTGCAACATTTATTAATCAGCAGAGTCTTTTTAAGTTAAAATACTAAATTAGCTAACCCCATTAACACAGAATACTCCAAACAAGCAGTAATAGGAGAGGTAGTTACTGTGCAAATCGTATTATACATGCGGGTGCTCTAGGGCACAGTTAAGCATGATTACCCTCTTTTGATCCAGTATTCCTCTGCTTCTTCCAGCTAATTTCCACTGGAAATTTACAAAGTAGCGCCTTCATTTTTCCATCTTAATTTTTCTAATGAAGTTCTGGTACTTTATAACACTGGGGATGCAGATAATAAGTCTGTGTATAATTAAGAAGTTCTGGAATTTGCTGCAGAAGAGATCTCTTTTGCTTCCTACAAGAACCAGACTATGCTTTTATTTGCCACTTTACATTATCACAGACGGGGTTAAATAAAAACAGCCTGAGGATTCTAAGATTTGCCAGTGTTATGATAAAAGTGATTGATAGTTTATTGAAAAACTATGTATTCAGTATATTACCGGCAACAGTATTTGTAATAATGCACCCAGGTAATTTCTTATGGCAAAAATAGTGCACTAAAGATAATGTGACTAGGTATGTTAAGTAAAACCTGTCTTTATTTTCATATCTAACACTTTGATTTTAATATGCCCTCATATAAACCAAATAATGGCTGCCCTGCTGCAGTTGTTTTGCTGTGGAAAACTGTTATGCTGTCTTTGTTCCCCAAGTGAAAAGATAGGCACTGTTGAAATTGCTGAAAAAATTACTTCAGGTATAATCCAAATTTGAGAGCTTAATGTCATGTTTTATTTAAAGAAAAAAAAAAAAGGAGATAAAATATTCACAGCATGGTTTGTTTGCAGCTAATTGTTCATGGACTTCTTCAAAGTGAGATAAGATTATTTTATTTGAATTAAATCAAGACAACAAGGCATTGAATTGCTGCTGCATAGAAACACTATCTAAAAATTTAACAACACTATCACACAGAGATTTAATACTTTCATGGTATTTTTACTATAAAATTACAAAAATGTACTGTACACACAAATATAAAAGTTTGAAAACCCTCATAAGCAGAATATTCCTTTTAGTACTTTGGGTTTGATATTTCTTACTGTGCCCTGGTAGTGTAGCATGTATAGCAGTCTAGCAGTAGGTCTGTCAGTTCTTTCTCAGGTGTCTAGGTACGTTTTGAAGCATTCCTGGGATCAGGATTACATGCTTGCACTGCTAGATGGCTGGGATTTTGCCTCTTGGGCAAGTTCAGAGAGCATGCTGAAGGACCACTCTGGTTTTTTGCTGTCATTTAAATTCAAGAAAAAGTTGCTGCCTCTGTACTGCATCCTATTGGTAGGTACCATATAGCACTGGGATGCTGCTGCACAGCAGCAAATGATGGACCTGACAAATCCTCCTTCCTGTTTGTGCTGCTGCACTCTTCTCTCACTGTACCTGCTGCTGCTTCTGTCATCTCTGTCAATCCTGCTGGAAGGTCTTCAGTGTCTTAAAGGCCTCTTCCATCTCCTGTCACAATAGTGAGAGAGATTGCAATAAAAGAGAGGGAATAGGGGGAAGAAATTGTAAGTAAGGAATGCATGAAGAAAAATCATGGGGAGGGAGGTAAAAATGTAGGAAAAGAAGGATTAGAAAGATGAAGTAGTAGAAGGAAGGTGCAGGATAGGATGGGTGAAGGGAGAGATAAAGCAGTTTTTATTTTTGTTGACAACAAATATCTAGGGTGTCTGAAATTTAAATACACATCATTAGCAGCTGTCAGGCCCTGGACTGGCTACTAAGTGAAGTCTTCTAGGTCTTTTTGCACTAATTAGGTTCAATACAGTGTGGTCCTAGCAACAGTGCAGCTGGATTTCACCCCCAGTGACACTGCCACCCTTGGTCCTGGTCCTCCCTCAGCTTATGTATGTGCAATGATGCAATATAATGGTACCAGCTCTTTCCCCCTGTTTTGAATCTATTCTTTGGCATATCTCTTCTTCAGGCTGTTGTGCTATTAAAAAATTAAATAATTTTTCATTTTAATATTTATTTCTTTAGGGAAAGTTCATCTCCCATTAAATCATCAACTTTGGGATGGCTCAGCTTATATTGACTATGCTTTATGGCATAATAAAATATCAATATGAATTTAATTCTTCTTTGTTCCTGCTATTTCTGTCTTTGTCATGTTTACTGAAAACCTTTAAAAATTTCTGAATTACAAGGAAAAGCTGAAAGCCAGATGTAACAATAATGAGTGAACGTTTTGTGGGAAAAAGACTATTGAAATCTAAACTTGTGCCTGATAATGGTATCATACCATTGTCAGGATTTAATTTTCTTCTCCTTCCATCACTCTCCTGTCACGTTCAGAGCACATACTGTCATTAATTTTGGGAAAAGCTGTGTCAGGTGTATACATAGAACTACAGAACATTATACCATTACTGAAGTGTTTTGCAGTGCTATTACTTTTTACTATTATTATTGGTTGTGGGGGTATAATGGCTTTTGTAGGACTCTCATTAATTTGGTTACCCTACTTAACATGAAAAATTGGTTTGATTGTTTTCATTACTTATTCACATGGAGTAATGAAAATTCTCACTTCAAACAGACATTGAATTTACAAGCATATGATCCTCTCTTTTAGTTAAAGCATTATTGCTATGGGGATCTGCTCACCTGACTCTGACAGCAGAACTACAAACCAAAGAAAAACTTCTACTATATGATTATACCCTATTGTATTTTTAATGTTCTTTCATTTAAATTTTAGTATTTTTGATTGTTCAATGTTCTTCTTCAAAAATTCATAGTTGATTTAATTTTTTTTTTTTAACTCAGCCATGGACATACATTCCAGGCTGTATGGCACATATTCCAGTTAATGATCTTAGAGGAGATAAGCAGCAGAATGCAGAAGATCTCTTTTGTGCTAAACTACATGCAGAACATACTGTCAGTTGTGTCTCAAAGTGTTAATATATATATATATTTTTTGTTCAGAGTGATAGTAGAACATAGATTACTCTGTTTGCCAAAAAAGACAGAGATTAACTGATCCATGGTAAAATGAAAACCTCTATGTAGACAATTTTATAAGGCAAAACCATAATAATTTACTTTCTCTTCTACTTTCTGCAATAATTTTTTACCATTTTTTTTATAAATTTTAGAGACACGATATTCATAGTAAATTATGAATGCTATGGCTCAACTAAATTCTATGCATATATGGGCAAATCCCTAAACTGCAAGCCTTGTCTTCTCAGCTATCCAATCCCCTGAGAAAGCCAATTTTCTTTCATGTCTGAACAAAAGAAAAATGTACTATTAAAATGCAATTTCAGAAGTGATAAAAACTGCAAGTGGAGCAGCCGGCTCACAGCACCTTCGATGTATTCTCTGGGACACTGGGGCCACATTAATTTTTTTTTGCGTGTGATGTCCATCCCATGTGCAAATTAGCATTACAAGTACCATAATCTGTCTTATGTGAGGGTGTCCTTTCCCATGGGTATACACATGCTACTATGGCTTTGTATTATTTAAAAGTCTGCTAACTCAGTGTTTTTCTTTCAGTAAATTTACATGACATTTGTTTGTGGCACTTGATAGAATAAATTGGTATAGCTGGCAAGATTCTAAAACAGTTTCTTTTTATGAAGTGAAAAGAAATGTAATTTAACAAAACAAACACTCAGAGTTGCTGATGAATCAGTTAGTCAAAATAAATAATTTTCTGAGTCTGTATCATCTGAGAGACAAAAAAAGGTATTTTAATCCCCATCTTTATAAAAAACTTGTTTTATTGTCTAAGTCTTATAGGGACTCTGGATTCTGAAAAGCTTTCATCTAGGGAAATGTTTTAATTAACTACATCTGTGGTCATGGCAGTTAAAGTGATGTTTTAAACTTCTGAAGCATATATTTCTAGTTTTACTGTATGGTATTTATTCCTGCACTGCTAGAATAAAGAATGCATGTTGCATTTCAGAATACCAGCAATGATAAGTTTAATTCACAGTGTTTTACTGTACAGTGAAATGTAGTTGTTTGCTCTCATAACTCTCTTACAAACTGAAATAGGTGGAACTAAGACATCTTTGTAGCATGTCGTTCAGATCCTTTATATATTAGATGGTTTTCACCTTGATCTGTACAGTTTGCTGTGCAACCTACCCAGAGAACCTGTAGTTGTCTATGACAGTTAGGAACTTCCATCTGAAAATCTCTTCCAGCTGGTAGATGGAGTATCACTGTTCACTGGCACTATGTAAGCAAGGAGTCCATTATCAGTATGACCAAAGGTGAAAGAATCCAGCTCCAAAAGATTGCTGATTAGACATGGTTATAACTTAAGAGTCAAGTGCACAATTTGTGAATTCTGAAGAAACAATTTCCTTGCTTTGTGCTCGGCTAATATGTGAAAGTCCATGTGAAAGATTCTGTTCTGGTAAATGAGAGTATGGTTTATTTAACTTTGGTTAAGACACATCAAAGGATGCATAGGTGGTTTAAGGTACAGATTCTTTATGATGCAAAAGTGCCTTGGTTTGTACTTACACTGCAGTCATGTTTTAAATGTTTCTGTCCTGAGGGAATGATCAGGTTGAGGTTATGTGTTGGGGCCCTACACAAATTGTAAAGTGAATGCAAAGTACTCCACAAGTGATCTCTAAACTTGTGCATGGTGTGTGCCTGCCACTGACAGCTGAGACAGACTGCACGTCCTGCTAAGACTTGAGGTATCAACATGCAGATCCCAGAAAATTGAACGCTGATCATTTTTGCATCTCACCAGTTGTTACTGTGGATACAGACAAAGCAATAACCTAGTAATGCAAGTGAACTAAGTTACATCTTTGTACAGAAAGTCTAAATTTTATTGTGTCGAAACTCTATCTCTTTGTTCCAAATTTAATTTAAAAGAAGCTTGCACAAGAAATTGCAGTAATCTTCTCACAATACTGAGGAGGAACACTAAGAAGGTAGTGAAAAATAGCAAGAACCTGTGTCCATGTCATCTCCTGCAGAGTTGTTATCCATTATTTCCATCAATCCTGTGGCATCTGGAGAACAATTTAACTGGTTTCAAAATATTCTTGAATTTCAGATTTCTGCTATTTTCTTCAAATAAAAAGGAGAAGTATGAGCCATCAATTCATAGTTCAGACAAATATGGCCGAGAAGCTTATGGAACCAAACACTTCAGAGAAGTACAGCCTGAGAAGTGGATAGCAGACAAGGTAAGTCACTGCAAAAACCAAAGAATTATTTACTTTTTTTGATTGTTATTTTATTTGAACTAAGTGAATTTGAGTGTGATCCTGAGATCGTGGAACCCAATGAGGTTCTTTCTACCATGTTATGAAATCACATAGAGCTGATGTGATGTCAGATTTCCTTGACTCTCTGGTAAGTTCAATTTGAGGAAATTCAACATCTGTCCTACCTACAAGACCAGGATTTAAGAGACTTATTAAGTACAGCTTCAGTTATATACATTTTGCTAATTTTCATTCTATTTGTATTGCCTTTTATGATTTAAGAGAGCTTGTATGTTTATTCTTGCATGTTAAGATAAACCTTCAGCAAATTATGGCAAAACCTGATTAAAACAAGATATTTTACTGCTTACCTTCTTTGGAAACATCTTAGAATTAGTGAATAGTTGTTTTCATTTTAAGATGGTCTCATTAAATTCTGGTTTCCTAGTGCAATAGGTAATTTTCCTCAGAACTTGTTCTAACATGAGTTTCTGTAGTCTTTGCATTACTTCTATTTGTATTAGGTATCGTAATCACATTAAAATCTTCAAGTACAAGAAAGATAATGGACTTTGTGACTCTGTGCTGCACTCTCTACCAAGACAGTTAGGAGACTGGAGCATATTTTGTAGGAGGAGAGTCTGAGACAGCTGGAACCCTTCAGCATGGAGAAGGGCAGATGCAGGGGAGGTCTTATTGAAGTGTATAAACACCTGCTAGGAGGGAAGGAAAAAGAGGGAGCCGGAATTCTCTCAAATTCAGTAGTGTCCAGTGGCAAGACAAGAGGCAATGGACACAAGTGGAGTGAAATTCCATCTGACTGCAAGAAACCTTTTCCTTTTTTTTTTGTGTGGGTGACAGAGCACAGGCACAGGTTGCCCAAAGAGGTTGTAGAATCTGCATCCTTGGATGTATCCAAAACCCTGCCATTCATGATCCTGTCATCCTGCTGTAGCTGATTAGAGGGATTGTAATAGATGATCTCAAGGGGTCTCTTCCAACCTAATCAGTTCGGGGATTTTGTATGATATTATTACTTATTTCCCTGAAAGTAGCTTATCCTTTGTAAATATACAGCAAGTTCCAAGGAATCTTAGTTTGAGAAGGAATATTTCTAAAAAGAATTATTTCTCAAAATTTTAAGCTTTAAAAATGAGCTCACAATAAAATTTTAGTGTTTTAACATGCATTTATTATATCTCATTGCAAATAAAACAAAGATAAGATTCAAACAAAAAGATTTGAATTTGTCTTTCAAACGCAATGAGTGGAGAATATGATCGGCTGAAGTCCCATAGCTTAAATATGATATATGAAAAGGACCTAAATATCTTATTAATGGTACTTATCTTGTCCTGTAAAGACTTGCTTTTCCAGTCCTTAGAAGTTCTTGATCAGGCTCAGATGATGATATAAAAAAGCCTAAAGATATTTATACTGTAAATCATTTCACACATATATTAATTATGGGCTTAGCCAAAACAACTAAACTCACTTGTGATCTTGGATAGATATCAACCTAAATCTCTGGAGGTGAATAGCTGTATACATTAACCCAACATGACATACAGCATTCCAACCCCAATTCTAAATCAATATGAACCTTCCATTAGGACCCGCTTACTCAAACACAGAGACAAGAGTAGAAAAGAGCTATTTATGACCTACTTGATGCTTTAATAGGTCATTATTATCAGAAAAAAAATCCTAACAAACTCCACCTCCTCACTACAATTTAGTGGAAAAAGTCCTGTAGGCAGGTATGAAGTCATACTCTCATAACTGTTAAATGTGATAGAATTCTGCTGGTTTTTTATTTCTAAACTATATGAAAACTTTGTATATATCCGTGCTATGAAAAAATTATCCTGTTCTAATGAATCACAAGGTTAAAGGGCATGTAACAAAATATTGGAAAAAAAAATCTGATTTTTGCTTAACACTTTGCTGAAAACAAGCCTCCTTTGAGTTGATATTTTTGTGGATGCAACTTCTATTTACAATCTGAATAGCTGATAACCCTGCCATGATTTATATTCAGCTTCTGACAGTCTATTCTGACAGATAAGTTTCTTGTATTGTTGCTGGTAAGAATATGTAAGTTCTTCCAAGGAGTCAGTGGATCAGTGACCCCTCTGAACTGCTGAGGTATTATTTGATGTTAGCTGATATTAGCTGGCCTTTTTAAAACTTATGCATAAAAAAGTTTCCCTGTGTAGGCTCATGAGCATGTCCTAGTTGCATTTTCCTGAGGTTTCCATGTGTTTATAAGTATGCATTTTAATTCAAGTCACAAAAAGATTAGTATGTAAATGATATAATTACGTTAGAAGCAAAATGAACAACAATGAAAAATATTGCCTTGTTATATTTCTTCTGGAAAAATGAAAGGGTATTAGCATAGACCTCCTCTAAACATAATAATTACCATATCTATGTGAAGAAAAGTTAATAGTTCTTCTTTTCATCTAGTTATAATCTGAAAATTTTTATCTCATTCCATTTACATTTCAAAGAAGCTTGAGTTAAGGGAAAAACTTTTCTATTCTAATTCTTCATGAAAAACAAACAAGAAAGGGAAATACTAGACCTCTAGTGAAACTGAATCTAGTTAGTTTACTCAGTAAATCACTATAAAGAAATAAAAATGCTTGCATGTTTTAAGTCTTATATCATATGCCTAAATACATTAGAATGTCTTTGATAAAATTTATGTGTGAACTTTCAATATAAAAAATTTACCAGTCACTATGAATTTAATCTGCAATGATAGGTTCCAATGTAGCTGGACAGTCAAGGGATCAAATACACTAACTATAATCTTTCAGTTGTCAAAACACTCACATATGTTCATACTTACTGAGGCAGAAATGATAGCTTACAGTCTTTAATAGGTATTGGAATTAGTTTGCATACGCATTTTAGAAAACTGACTTTAATGACAGCATTTAATGTTTTTTTCTTTGCAAAATTCAGGAAGGGATATTTTGAGATGTTCCGTTCTAATAGATTCTTCCCTCTGATGCCTTATTATAGGTGAATTACAGTACAATTGCATCCCTGTTTCATTATTTGCACAGGCATTTTGGCCCTAAACAGGATTTTATTATCTACAAAGCATAAAAATACGCAGGACTGCAAAGAATTAATTTAGAGAACCTAAGCATATTGCACAGAACATAAAGTTGACCTTTACCGTCTACAGCTTTTGGAATGGAGTGGGATGTGGAACACATCATAGATTTAATGTGGCACAACGCTGTCTGCAGAAACTTGGGTGGGACTGTGACTGCCTGCCCATTGCACCCGATGATTGAATCTGCTGTCACCAGCATCCTGATAATAATGAACATTCAGCTTAATGACCGCGATTATGATTATCATAATTGATGTGCAAGTGCAGTGTGTGGGGATCATTACAGCTGAACTGTACAGCAGAGAAACATGCCTTAGTTATGGATAATTTTACTTTTATGCATTGATTGGGGTAAAATATGCCTTTCAAGTTCAACAGGCCAGTTTGATATAATTTTAGTAAGATTTCTACGTGTATGAATTGATGTTTATGAGCTTTCTGGAAAACAGTCATTCTAGCTGTTTGTTTGTAAATGTTTCATTCCATTAATAATGGGAAATAATTAAATAATTAGTTGTTGTCTAGTGGAAACCACTTAAAGAGTGCTGCCAGCATTAATCAAATATCAACTTCAAATATTTCTGATTGTCATGGTCCTGCCTAGGCTAGGAAAAATAGCCCTTGTAATTCACCACCAACACCATTCTCCTTTTGGTGGAGCAGTAGCAATAGGGCTGTGGTCAACACTACTGGCATTTTCACACTGTGCCATGTAGCCATTAGAGCAGACAGTAGTTGTTCCATATATAAATTATATCAATTCCATCTTTGTCACCAGAGGCAGAGAATTACAGGTTGAAATTCAGCTAGTGTAAAGACACAATTAACAGCTCCAGTTGGATTTGTTGAACAGTGATTACCTTCAACTGTGATTACATGCAGTTGTAGAAGTAGTTAGTTAAATCATGTCATATATAACAGATAAACACAAGTATGTGTATATATTTTAAGCCAGAGTTTATACAAAGAATGTTACAACATAAGTGTAATGAAAAGTATAGACTTTCATTGGTTTACACTAGGTGTAAGTTTGGCTCTTTGTCCAAGAACTGACAGATTTTCAATCTGGGCTAATAGAGAAAACAGACAATGGAAAGAATTCCTGGGAGTGATTTGTTCTGTTTGAAAATTAGTTTCATCTCTTGTAGGACCAACAACATGCAACAGTCACGAATCTAGTGGATGGTATCATTTATGTGATAGAAGTTTCTGATACACTATCCATGCTTTTCTATCCCTGACTATACTGATATTTATTTGAATTTCACCTTAACTCCATTTTTTCTAGTCTTCCAGTGACTTGTCTTGAGAATAGGTATAGTGTATGTGTGAAGTTTTAAGCTCTTTCTCGGCTGTGACTTCAATCTTTTTAAAGGAATTTCCTTGTTTTCATTTTAGTTAGGAAAAAAAAGATTATCCAAGAATATGTTCTAATACAGCATGACACTGGCTAATGAATGTGCATTTATTGCCTTTAAAATCTTTTAAGGCCATATGTACGAGTATGCTTTGTGACAGAAGTTACTAATGTACAATAGAAGAGCTAGCACATATTTTGAATATTAAATTCTTAGTTCCCCAATCCAACCTCAATGTGTTTTCCTAGGCAATGCAGAGCTTACATAATGTGGCAGCAAGAAGGAAATTATTAGATGAACTGTAAGAGTTTGCTTGTTACAGTTCCAGTTTCCTCATGAGCCATGTCAGGGATAATAAGTGTTGTTGCCAGTGTGTTGCACTCCAGCAATCTTCGGCCAATGACATGGCTCCTGTTCGATTATTGCTGCTGGCATGACTTGATGTATCTATTCAGAGGTTTCAAATGGACCCTTAGTTTGAGTTA